ATGCTTGCCTTTATGACTCATGCATTAAGGGCGTAAAAGGCCTGAAGGGTCATGGGTTTTGTCAGCAAGTTACATTAAGTGACAATGATGAGTGTGTGGGGGGAAAATTCCCGGTACAATTCATCTGTTTATGGCAAAGTGTGGCAGGTCCCTAATAATGTCAAGTGTCAGGCCTCTCACTAGGAGGAGGGATATCTGGTCAGGGAGGGAAGAGGTGCCACCCCTGTAGGGGGAGGTCATAGGGCAAATGAGGATGTGGTGAAAGAGGGTGTGAGAGTCTGTTGACCACAAAGTTTACAAACAGTCCGGCCAGGCTCAGGGTTGCCAATGTACTGGGCGTTGCGAAGTGCAGTGGGGGTGGAGGTGATATGGTGTGGTGGGGCAGGTACAGTAGGGGTGGGGGGAGGCACATAGGCATTGACAACATTGAGGGACACACCTTTTAGTGTAATTGTGATGGTGTGTTCGTCGACATGTCGGTGGGGTACAGGTAGCCGGCTGTGGTGTCCTCAGGTCCAGGTAGCCCTGGTGGAGACAGCTCAGACACAGGAGCGGGCGCGGCTTGCGGTGGGTGGAGGACAGGTTGAGGCACCAAGTGTTGTGAGGATGGGGCAGGACTTCGCTCGGGGGCAGCAGGACACACCAGGGCAGGCCCGGTAGGCACTACACCAGTAGTGAAGGCCGCCGGCGGTGGAGTAGGCCGTGAGCAGGGGGAGCTCACAGGGGGACCAACAGCTTGTGTCAAACCAGAAGAGAGGAATGACTGGGTGGCAACAGAGGGCAGGAGTAGGTGGGAGGTGGTGGTACAGAGTGTAGCGAAGAGTTTTTCAATACGGTTGGTAAATTCTTGGAAGAGGGATATGATCTGTGTCATGTCACTGACGGGGGTTGTGGGGGGGCACCGGTGGGAGCACAAGGCCTGACAGCCTCAGAGTAGAGACGGGGAGGAGGCCCAGTAGTAGTTGAGTTAGGAGACGGCCGGGACTGCTGTGTTGTAGCCAGATGAGGCCAGGCAGAGGCAGGTGTTGTTGAAGAAGGCGTTGCTGGAGACACAGGGTACACAGGGGGATGTGGCCCTGAAGACTGGGGGGGGGGGCATTGTGGTAGACTTGGCCTTCGGGGAGGCTTTTCCCCTGGGACAGACGTCATTGGGGCATTGCCGTGAGTCAGCATTGTGCCGAGTCAGCATTGTGCCGGCCGCCACAGTTACAACATCTGGGATTAATTACATAGTCCACCCCACCACTATTAAGGTGGTCTTTGATTTTCTGGGCACAGGCGGCGGAGTTGTGGTTACGTGAACAGAAGCGACATCTCGGCCGATCACGTCGACAGCAGACAGTGAAGTTCTAACCCCAATGAGAACAGAAAACACAAAATGCAGGCTCAGGATGATAGGCTTCTGCATACAGTGGGGGTAAGAGTGGGTGGGCATCCACAGTGGTTGGGCACTCCCTTCCCTTCCACTTGACAATGACAATGGGTTGTGGAACTCTCCCCCAGTAATGGCAACATATACTCAGTATACAAGACTTAAAGTCACGCGCATCTTCGATGTCAGGGTATAAGGGAAACGTTTCACTAGGATGTGGCAACATTCATCTGCGTCTACAGGGGGGGGGGGGAAGCAGGACGACCCCATCAAAGCCAACAGTACTAAGTGTTTCATAGACCTCAGAAGTCTGACACTTGATAAAGTTCCGGTTCTTACCTTGTCGGAATTCAATGCTGAAACCGTGCTGTCTGCAGTACTTCATCATCCAATTACAGCGTTCCTCTACAGTTTTCAGAGAGTCCTTGGGGAAGTGGAGATTCAGCTTATTTGTTTGTTTGGCAGAGGGCAGGGTGATAGGGTCCATGGCATTGGTGTTTCCACTGTGGCTAGTGTTTCCCATAGAGACATTATATATATATATATATATATATATATATATATATATATATATATATATATATATATATATATATATATATATATATATATATATATATATATATATATATATATATATATATATATATATATATATATATATATATATATATATATATATATATATATATATATATATATATATATATACAGTGGTCCCTCGGTTAACGGGCACAATTCGTTCCAGAAGGTTGCTCGTTAACCGAAAAATTTGTTAACCGAAACCATTGTTTCAATGGGTTTTTGGGTAATTGCTTCCAGCTCACCGAAAATTACATACAAACTAAAAACAAATACAGTAAAGTACACTTACTTTGAGGTGTGCATGTAGAAGGCTCCTGGTTGATGATGATGATGATGGGAATTAGAATGGGGGTGGAGGAGAAGGGAGAAGAGAAGGCATTGGGGTGGAAGAGAAGTCACTCCATGCTGCCATTTCACCCATAAAATTTTAGTTCACTTGGTGTAATTCAAGATTATTTTCTTTAAATCAACACTGCACTGCGCTATATATTATCAATATGTAAAATATTTTTCAAAATGACCAATAATTTGACTGGAAACAGAAAAAAGCATTTATGTTGAAGAGTCTCAAACAAGATGTTCCTTCCTCTGAACTGGTAAACAAACTGACGCCAAGCTTGGTGTGTTGAGTGGCTGTTTGGCGCGCAAAAAACTAGCTTCCTGTACTTCAATTATGTTCAATAATTGTTAAAATGACTAAAAAAAATTACATAAAACTTTTAAAGTTGTTGAATAATACAACCTTCTTGATATTTACTAAAATGGTAAGGAATTTAAGCCCTAAAACCGACTACTGTATTGGCGGACTAATATGGAAGAAAAGTTCACTTACTTTGAGGTTTGTATGTAGAAGGCTCCTGGATGATGATGATGATGTGCATTTGAAGTGGGAGGTGGAGGAGGAGAAGGGTGAAGAGAAGGCATTGGGGTGGAAGAGAAGTCACCCCATGGCACCATTTCACCCATAAAATTTTAGTTCTCTTGGTGTATTTCAAGATTATTTTCTTTAAATCAACACTGCACTGCATTATATATTGTCAATATGTAAAATGAATTTCAAAATGACCAATAATTTGCTTGGAAACACAGAAAAAAAGCATTTAGTTGAAGAGAGTCTCAAGCAAGATGTTACCTCCAGTGAAAACAGAGAGAGACTAACGCCTGTTTGCTGTGTTAAGAGGCTGGATGCCGCGCATTAAACTAGTCACTTTACCTTCAATTATGTTCATTAATGTTAAAATGACTAAAAAATTGAATATTAAACTTTTAAAATTATTGAATAGTATAAACTTCTTGATATTTACTAAAATAGTAAGGAATTTAAGCCCTAGAACCGATTAATGTATTGGCGGACTGATACTAAAGCTGGTTGCCCGGTCAGTGCAAGCGAAAACATGTTGAGGTCGGTTCGTAAGAAATTCGTTAACCGAATTTTTGTTCGTTAACCAAATTGAAGATCCTTATGGAAGGCAGTTCGTTAACCGAAATTTCGTTAAGCGAAGTTAAACTGTATATATATATATATATATATATATATATATATATATATATATATATATATATATATATATATATATATATATATATATATATATATATATATATATATATATATATATATATATATATATATATATATATATATATATATATATATATATATATATATATATATATATATATATATATATATATATATATATATATATATGCTGATAACCACAAGGAAAGAAGAAAACACGAAGTTCCCAAGCGCTTTCGTGTAATTCACATCTTCAGGGGTGAGTACTCACCCCTGAAGATGTGAATTACACGGAGCCTTCTTTGTGCCTGTTTAAAGCTGATTCGCCAGGCAAGAAGATGATGGTAGCAATGTTTTGAGAATTGCAATTAAGTGCCAGGAAGCGAAGTATCCTCCTAATTATACGTATTTAAGTAATTATTAGATGTTTTAATTGTCTGTATGTTGGCCAGGCGAATTAATGCTACGGTAGGCATTTACATACCTTGGTATAAAGCTAGATGTCACATTCTGGATTTAACAAAAAGATTATATTATGATAAAACAATAAATTTCACACCTCTGTTTGTACTGTGCTTTAATTATTGAAGATCCTGTCAAAAAATGGCCCCAACACACACACACACAATTGCAATACCCTCTCACTCTACAAATCAAGATATTTAAAGATTGTTTTGCTCCAGGTGAAAGAGGAGCTGCCATTATGGATGCCACAGGTGAACTACCCGACGGGGAATGGAGCCATGAGACTCCGCCAGCAGACTTTTACCATCAAACGCCTAGGTCAACCCCAGCCTGATGATGTTAGCCAACCCATACAAGGTCATTACTATCTTAGTTCCTCAAGAAAAATATATATACTGTACCTGTACTATACTGTACTGTATACAACACAGAATTAAAAACACATTCTATATCTGCTCATTGATGTCGACAGACAAAGTGTTCCACGGAACCAATGCATCACTGGTGCTCACCTGGAAGATGCACATGCCATTTACCTGCAACATGCAGCTCCTCTACTACCCTTTTGATGTGCAGGTGAGATGGTGCCTACTAAATTCAACCAGATATTATCACCCTAAACAAGTTCTCTTGGTAATTCAAACATCATAAACTACTATGTACTTAGTAATATCGTGTTGGCTTAGATTAAATTTAAGAGTTATTGTTGAGAAGCAGTGGTTTTGGATCTCCATTTAGACATCAAAAACATCTCAAATCAATGAATGTTCAAACTAAGACACAGGTTATTTTAACATATTGCTCCCCTGTACTATAGCAGTAAAGAATACTTATGGGCCCAGGTAGGCAAGGTATTCAATTCAAGTCGGCTTTACCCTGTTACCCAGAGTAGGAAATACTGTAGGAACTACAGACAGAATCAAACAAAAATTTTAACTCCTAAATAAGTCAAAATGATTACTACACTTCTTTCCACATCTTATGACTTATACTGTAAACATATTGTTTACTGCATCTCATAATCTAATATAAAACAACTGTCTCCCAAATAGGTGTGTGTTATTCCTATAGTGATGGCATCAGCTTCAGCAGAATACCTAATGTTTGAGGCTCCTATAGCAGAATATTTGGGTGAAAGGGCCCTTACTGAAGTAGAGGTATGAAGTCATATGGAATATTATAAATTTGAAAATATTTACTTCTTTTTCAAGTTAGCTAATCATATTTTTATATTTTATATAATTTTCTATCCCTAGTACTGTACATGCCAGATATGAAAGAATTCTGCACAGCTACTTATGAGGGATAACCATTTATTTATGCATTAAGGAAGTACAGGGTCCAGCAGAGAAACCTGATGGTTAAAAAAAAAAAAATTACAAGAATTTGTTAACCAAACTGCAGTACATCTCAAAGCATTTTATACACAAGATTCACTTCTTGAGAATTACATCGGTGAGATGGCATCCATTGTTATTTACACATTGTTGCAGTCAGAGTGAAAATTCCCCATTACTTGATGTCATTTCGTTAGGTATTGCTGCCACTTCATCCCTTATGTTCTGTTTCAACTCAGTTGATCTCCTTGGTCAATTAGCATAAACCTTGCTCTTAAGGTATCCCCAGAGGAAGTAGTTTCAGGCATTGAGATCGGGGGATCTTGCTGGCCACTGAACATTTCCATTTCGGGAGATGACATGTGTTGGGAACATCCCTTTGAGAACCTTCATAGAATTCCTTGCAAGAAAGTGACTAATCACTTTCAGTTAAACTCCACATGTTCTCAAGGTCACTTCCCCCACTCCAACAGTTTCGAGCACAGATTTGTTTAAAAACTATCAGGTTTTCCTGCTGGACCCTGTACAATCAGTTGCAGGTCTGATAAAAGTTAGATAAACTCCCCTTGGCAGTTTATATTAAAAATCCTCTCGTGGGAAAGTTAACAGTGGGCATCAGGGATGTAATGATATTACTGTACAGTTTCTATGGTAATTCTATTAGTCACCATCTGTTTAGGAGTAAGTTTTGTATCCATACAAGGAGAAAAATGTTTTTTGTTAGTTAGAACATGGGAGGGGTGTGGGGTGGAAATAATAAAAACATGAAATTGAGTATATTGTACTATACTGTACTGTAAATGACATACTGTATATATTTTTAATGACATCAATACAGTATCAGATAAGACTGAAAAGAAGAATTACCTACTTTTGACATTTAAGCCCAAATGTAACATTGAAATTTGAGATAGGAGCCTTTGAGTTGTTTGCAACATATCATCTTTCGGGCATTAAACTATCCCTGTGAAGTTTCATAAAATAAAAGCTGTGTATTACACTGTCTTGATATCAGTTAAAGTTTTGACCTTCCTTTGACCTTGAACTTTGACTTTGAGTTTTATTTGGTGTTTCTCTACAATCTTAGGTTGAGAGAGAATTGATAATATTGTACAATAATTCGTGATTTTTCTGCCTAGAAAACAGCAGTAGTACAATTACAGTACGGTACAGTACTCTATTTCTTTTAAAATTTGTTGAAGCCTGTCAGAAAAAGGTTGACCTTTTACCTTCATAATAGGGTCCTGGGAGTACGTAGTACATATCAATGATTTAATGCCATCAGTGTCTGCCATAAACTAAACAAAATTGAATAGAATATACTAAAATTAACTTGCGTGCTAATCTAACTGCTATTTTTTACTAAAGTTTGATCTAACCTCTAAAGCTTTTATTGTACTCTGATATCAGGAAATGAGCATTGGATAATAACACCAAACCATTTTATTAAGTTTCAGCAAAACTTATTGAGGTAGCTAAGATACAGTAGTATATGATTAATGTTAAACTTTGGTTAAAATGTGACTGAAAAATATATTAACAATTAAGTCAGAAAAATAATATTTTTTGTTATGAGGCCTAATATATGATGTACAGATACATATATATACAATATATATAATTATTATTTTTTTTTCAAGATTGGAGAAATTTCTGTAGTTGTGAGGAACACATCAGGGGACTCCATGAGCTCTGCAGTGATCAGTGTGGAGCTGCGGAGACGCTATATCTTCTTTATGACATCAACTTATTTTCCGACAATGCTTTTGCTTCTTATTGGCTATGGGACACTTTATATTAGGCTTCAAATGTTCCAGGTAAGATTTATTTTGTAAAGAATGAGCAACTTATGAAATATATATATATATATATACTGAGGTGAACATACTGTACTCACTGAAAATTATCTTCAGTAAAACAATACATATCTTGTAGGTACGATCAATAATGTCGCTGACAACTCTGCTGGTTCTTACCTCACTGTACACACAAACTGCTGCCAGCCTACCAAAAACCTCCTATTTAAAGGCCATAGATGTGTGGCTTCTCTGCTGCATCATCATCCTCGTCCTCATCATTGTTAGTCACATCGTTACAGATTTTGTGACAGATTTTGATACAACCATCAAGGTAAGATTATACAGTCTAACATAATTACAGGTATCTATATATTTACGAATTTACAATTATCTGTTTTACAATATTAACACCCGCGACAGATTTACATTAGGCAAAATCCATGTTTAGAATATTTATCTTAAGGCTAAACTTGCTGATGCAGAATGTAAACACTAGGAAAGTGCATTTTTCCCTTCACTTGTCTTATCCAAGATGGCCAATACTGTACAGGGGATCTCCAGGTTATGAACGGGTTCCGTTTCGAGGACATTCTTAAGTCGGATTTGTACATACAGTAAACCTTCTAGTTTGGCGACTAATTAGTGCCGAAAAAACCTCACTAAACCCAGAATCGTCAAACCAGAGGGCTTAATCCAATGGGAAAAAGCCTAATTGGTACCGAGGGGCACCCAAAGTCTCAATTTTTCCTATTTTACCCATATATAACCTATATTTTATTGCTGAAAGAGAATTAATGATTAGTTAATCAACATAAACATAGAAAACCAAACTTAAAATTAAAGTTGAGGTGCTTAGTGTACACTAAGCTGGTATCTGAGTACTTTTTCATTTTCTTCCCAACTCGATATTTACGAGAATTTTTCGTCTTTCGTTTTACCTCTGTTACGTTTTAAATGCGGGAAAGTGGTTTTCTTACCGTAGAACTCAGATACCTTCACACTGGTTGCTCACCCAGGAGATTATGGTGTATCACTACGTAGAATTTCACTCTGCTTCTGGCATTCAATGCGTTGTGTACTTGATAAATGATGATTTAATGAATTCCATTAATTTCCAACATCCATCTAAGTTATTGGTTATACTTTGTCATAACCAAATAGTCATTACCTTCGGTAATAATAATAATAGAGGATCACAGATACGGGCAGATCATTGCACTTACGTTTATTTGGCACAATTCCATACACTGGACTTATAATTTGCATGGATAGGTCAGTCACTCACATTCACGCCACAGTACCGTAAGTTTTAAGGGAGAGTTTGTCAACCTGGAGAATTAATCATTTAGATCTATTAGGCCGGCCTGGAGTGCTCTTGTAGCAAACAGGCCTTCACCATTGATCACTTCCTTTACAGGATGTGTTAACTTGTCGCTGGACTTAACAACAATCTCGGGGATTTGCACACACAGACTCGTAGCACTGGTAGGACTGTATGGCCCCTGTTCTAAATCCGCGGAGCAGGAGGTCTTCTATAACCCAAGGTCTAAAGCCCACTGGCTAAAATGAGGTTTTGAGGCATGAGATGACCCCTATCGGCTGGCCGGGTACCTTATCTCTACCTAAACAAACATTTGGGATGGGTTGTGCGGGAGACCCAGCGCAACCCATGACAACCTCATCATTTGCACTTCCCGGGCATTCAGACGGTCTTTCACCACCATCATCATCCCCTCTAATACCCCCAGGTACTTTTGAGGCCATTATCCCACACAAGAACACCGTGTCAAGTGAGAGTAAGAAAAAAGGGACATAAAGGCCAAGGTCACTCAAACAAGCAGCAGGAATGCCTGAACAGCTGATTGGTGCTTTGCGCTCGGTAAATACTCACCAGTAGTATTAAGTGAGATTTATCTTGCACTTATTATTCTGCAATTATTAGTTGTGATTGCATTTAAATTTAAACTCTTGCTAAAGGTGAGGGTTTGGTCGCCTTAATGGAGGGCAGGGTAATTTGAATTTTGACTGCCAACTTCGAATTTGCCAAACTGGAGGGTTTACTGGAAGTCGGAACACATGTTATGTGCATACAACTGTACCTACAGAACGATGTTTAAAATCCCACTATATCATAGCCTAAGTCCTTATATACATCTAAAATCACTTAAGAGAAAAGAAGAAATAGAATGACAAAATACAGTAAATGGAAGTAAAAAATAAGTCATCAGGTAAATATAACAGTAATATCTCCATTAACCGGAATCCCTCAAACCCTGAACTCTCCGATAGCCAGAATTGAAATTTTCTCGGAAAATAATTCCCAAAGCCATAATTTTTCAGAAAATTACGGCTTTGGGAATGATTTTCCGGAGGTACATTTTCCGTAAAATTCAGAAAAATTTTTCCCAATACCTGGAAAGTTCCAGGGATTGAGGTTTTTTTTCAAGGTTTGTGAGTTGAAAATCAGGTGCATTTTCAGGAAATTCTGAGAACAATTTTCCAGTACCCAGAAAATTACGGGGATGGGGGATATTTTTCCGAGTTTGAGAGATGATGTAACCGGCAATTTTGGGAACTTTCGAGAACATTTTTCCATTACCCGGAAAATTCTGGGGATTAGGGCTATTTTCCAGCTTTGAGAGAGTCGTCTCGGTTCCTGGAAATCTCTCATTTCCGTAAGTGCTCTGCACCAATTGTTCCGGCTAATGGAGATATCATTACTATAAATTTCAAGTTTAACCCCAATCATATTGGCAGGCATTTGTAAGTCGAACTTTCATGAGTCGGGGACCCCCTGTATGTGCAGAAACGGTTTTTCCATCCTTCACTCCGTTCACATACCAGCGCACCACCTCGCCGGCAGTATGTGAACTACAGTCCCATGCTTTGTTTCAATGTGATCACATCTACCATCACTTATTTAACAAACGTTATCATTATTAATCATTGCATAACCATGTGATCACTGTGATACTTTACTATTATTGGTGGGAACAAAACATTATCATTCTGATTTTGCTTTGTTTTGTTGACTGTGAAGTGATCAGTGTACACAGTAACTCTGTACTGTAACTTTGAAAATGGCTAGCAAGTGTCCTGTCAACTCTCCCACCTCTGGGAAAGGGAAGGCTTCAAGGAAAACCATGTTTCTGGAGACGAAGCTAGACATTGTTTAGTGGCAGGCTTGTTATTATTAATATACTGTCGTACAGGGGCATGTTTAATTTTGTTTTGTATTTATTTAATAAGTGTAGGATTGTTTTTCTTTGTTACATGTCTGTATCAAACAGGCCAGAAACATATCCCATTGAAACCCACGTTAAAAAGGGCCTGATTTACATAATTTTTATTTACAGGAAGGTTTTCAGAAATGCAACCCTATCATAAATAGTGGGATACCTGTACTGTATTCACCTTGAATCCTTATCCCACAGTGGTTCCCAACCTCAGGTCACGGGGTGTCCTCAGTAGGGTCGTGAAGGGCCCTCAGAAAATTGTAAAAATATAGTACTAACCATAAAGTCGAAAAAAATTTTTGCTTACCATTCAAGCTATATACAGTGGGGTATGCTATAACGAACGGATCCTACTACGAATATTCCTATAACGAACGGTTTTACCTATAAAATTGAGAATGCTATAACGAACGAAACTCCTACAACGAACATTATTTAATTTTTTTTTTTATTAATAATTTATTGTTTTTTATTACAAGTATTAATGATATTCTTTATTTCAGGGGTTTAGATGCATATTTATGCACTTTTTTACAATATTTACAATTTTATATTATATTTTTCAGTGTTAAGTGGTTGTATTTGGGGGCCTGGAACGGATTAATCCTATAACGAACGAATGCTATAACGAACAAGGTTCTAGAACCAATTAGATTCGTTATAGCATACCCCACTGTAATATATTATATGCCTGAGGGTCACGACACCGTATTGTTGGGAAATTTAGGGTCGCAGCCAAAAAAGGTTGGGAACCACTGCGGTTTACATGGACAGAGAAATATCAAGACAGTAATCATATTTGAAAAAGAACAATGAAAGACAAGTTTGCACATGCAGTACAGTACAGTATATGTACAGTACTGTACAGTACACTGTACTACCTGTAGACATTCTACCATGACTGTAATATAACAGTTTATGTCACAGCTATAGTAACATCTTAGCATGACATTCCCCATTAAATATTACTCTGGCCACCAAAAACCATCTTTTCTCATTTTTAGAAATTATTGATAAGTTGTTCTACAATATTGTGTTATAATGCTCACCTTGACCTTCATTGGCTGAGAAAATAATCTTTTTTAGTATCACTTGGGGCATGAGTGCCACTTCCTGAAGTATTAAGATACCCAGCTACCCATCATAAACAAATATGATTTTTCAAGATTTAAATGAATCTATGGAAAAATGTGCTAGAATTTACATTTCTCCTGATAATCTGTCCCTTTTATTGAACTTTGTGGTATTATGCATAATCAAATAATGAGTACTGTACTGTACTGTACTCTACTAACAAGTACCTTCATAATGTTGCAGGTTTTCCCAGCCAAGGCAGCAATGTCACCATCATCCAGAAGAGATAGGAATTGTAACATTCAGAACTTTGGGCCAATGTTGATTCATCTCATGAGAATTCTTGTTCCTGTTAACTTCTTTATTTTCAACATCATTTACTGGTTATTTGTATGTGCAGTTATCTAAGATGTAAGTGACTCCTTGCTATGCCCGACTTGCTGATATGATATAAATTATCTCCAGTAGGTACTGTATTAAACATGAACTGATAATCATTCGGATAATTCATTGGACATTTGAATTCTGATGTTGTAAAGATAATTGTACTGCATCATATGTTAAGAAAATATTTTTACGAATCAAGAAATATGATGGTTAACAATTTAAGTACTTAAAAAATTATGATTTTATTGTATCAAATAATACATCACACTGTATAAATAGGAACTTGAGGCAATGACAACATTTGCACAAGGCAGTTATAATTACTCATCATCATCAACATTTGCAGTCATTTTCCACACGTGCGTGGGTTAGGTCTGATTACCTGATGCCAGTTGTTGGGTAAAAACAGAACAGGATGTCCTCCCCTGCTCACCACAGCAAACCCAGGGTTCCAGCCCAGAAAATGCAGCAGGGACCAGGGAATGGGCACAGCTCTGGTGACCCAGTTACCATCAGGCCAGTTGAAGCAAAATTTTATGGCTGGATGCCCTTCCTAATGTCAACATGTCAACCAACAGGGAGAGAACAGCTGGCAAGGCAGGGTTGCAACTCCCTGAGGTAATAAAAAACTACCTGCCTACCCACCTACCCTATTCCCGGATTGAAAATAATGTTGAATGTCAGTGCCTACTTAAAGGATACTTCCTTATTGGAAAATCAAAAGGAAGGTAGTATTGGTGCACAAATTCTATTATTCAAATGTTGAATACACTAGTTAGGTCCCCTACTGGTGGGAAAAAACATGATAACTTTTGACATGAGACAAAAATCTAAATATAGATTTTCTGTATGGGCTGCTTTTCAGTGTCATGTCCTCTCTGAAAAGAAAAAAAAGTCCATGTACTTTTTCATGTTACAGGGAAAGCTTTTGAACCTACTGCACTTCAATCAGCCTTTCACAAATAATTTATCACATGTTTATAGGTGTTTTAAATTTTTCCTGAATTGTGAAGTAAGCTTTTTTATGTTGTCCATACATGTTTCTTTATAAAATTCTTTTGTAACAAAAAATTATTACTACAAAGTTTAATAATGGTTACTATACTGTACTTATGTTTATAATAACCTCTGCCAGAAAAATCCAAATACAGTATTACTCTTTACAGTAATATGAATGATTGTGATAAGTTCAATACAGTACAGTGGAGTCTGGATTTACACGGTTTTGGTTTTGGTTAACGCGTTTGGTCATTTACGCAGTGCCTTGCCAGAATCGAAATGCTTTAATTACGCGGTAAATTTGGTCATTTAAGCTAAAGCGGGTGAAGTATAATTTGTTTACTGTATTTACTGAAGATATTTGTTTTAGCTCATAAAATTCATACAAATTACCCGGCCATAATATAATTTACATTGCTGGAATTCTTATAAGATTGTGATTATTTTGAATATAAACATCAGAAAATTTGCATTAGACATACAAATTTTAGATCTAATTTAAGAATTTTGATTAGAAAGAGCAAATATTTTATCTTTTGTGCAAGATATATGACGTTTATATTCAAAATATTCCTTGTCTTGCAAGGAATCCAGCATTGTCAATTATATTATCCTAACTTTTGTCTGAGGTATTATTTATTACTAAAAATATAGGCCTACTGTTTTCACCCAAACATTTCTCAGAGAGGGAGGAGCCAGCGAGCGTGGGAAGAGGGAGGGGGGGAGAGTTGAGTCCATTATTTGAATGGACATTAACGGGCGACTGTATTTCTCTTAAATATTGTGTGTGCATACCATCATAAAATTAAGATGTTATTTTTGCAACAACGTTTTGGTATTGTGTCGGAAAAAGTGGAGTTTGGGGGTCGGCCCAGTCTCTATTTCAATTAATCCCATATGTTCTGTTATTTCATTTACACGTTTCTCGTTTTACGCGGGCCTCCACGGGTTCAATTGACCGCGTAAATGCAGACTCCACTGTACTCTTAACCCCTTCACTAGTCTGAGGTAACCTTGACATCATTAATGGCCACACAATTCACTTATTTATGTGAAGTACAGTGTACGGTAAAATATTCACCTCACACTGCTCTATTCCAAGTTGGAACTTCAGTGCATGGTTGTTGAGGCATCTGTGATCCTCCAGTGAGTTGTACAGACAAGATTTATGGTTTATTTACCTCATGTATTCACGTCAATCAGCCATAATATCTCTAATACCTTCCAATTCCTCCTCAATCCTGATTTTGATTGGCAAATTTTAGTAACAATGCTTGTATAGTATTACAAACTTCTTTTGTATCTCATTATCTCACATAGTAATGATGAAGGAGATGAGAAGTTTGTCAGATACTGAAGACTGATGGTAAATGATGACTGGTTACTAACAGAAATACAGTACTGTACACTTTGTATTTTGTAAAGTGAAAAATATACAAATGCTGCAGGAAGAAATGTTGAAGGTTTACATAATATGGATACTACAGTAATATTTGTTTTTCTATGTTAATATAAACTGTAATGTTTTATTTTTTCTTGCTTTACTGTGTTGGCTTACTGAATTCACTCATGTGTAGTGTACAGTCAGCCAAAGATCAAGCAACCCCACCCTGGATCTCATACTGGCAATTTCATCTGGTAATACTTGGTGAAGGGAGGCTGTATGTAATGGTGAGTGTGATTGGTGGATCTATTTTTGGCTGTATCACTGTCAGGATAAATATTAAACAATCCAAGGGTAGAAAAGACACAGAGACTGACGCCTGTATGGTGTGTTGACAGGCTGTTTGGCGCGCAAAAAACTAGCTTCCTATACTTCAATTATGTTCAATAATTGTTAAAATGACTAAAAAAAATTTATATAAAACTTTTAAAATTATTGAATAGTATAAACTTCTTGATATTTACTAAAATAGTAAGGAATTTAAGCCCTAGAACCGATTACTGTATTGGCGGACTAATACTACAGCTGGTGGACCGCCAAATGCAAGCGAAAACATGTTGAGGTCAGCTCGTAAAAAACTCGTTAATCGAGGGATTGCTTGTTAACCGAAGTTAAGAACCTTATGGAAGGTAACTCGTTAACCGAGGGATCACTGTATAGCGATAAATTTATTTACAGTAGACTTACAACTTATGTGGGGTTATGTTTCTAGGAACTCACATAAAGCCAAAAACCGTATAAAGTAAGAGACACTCCTAAAAATCCCCTAAATGGCTAAAAAAATAAGAGTTGAATTTTTTTTTCTCTTGTGCAAAATATATGATGTCTATACAGTATTCAAATTATTTACTGTCTTACAAGGATTCCAGCAATGCAATTTATATTCTGCTAACTTTAGTCTGTGACATTATATAAGATAAAAACTTGAAGCCTAAAACCACTTTCAATCTTGCCAGAAGTGGAGGGTGTTGTATTATGACAGCTGGCGCCAGCCCCCGGCCAAGGTTGCCCAATGGTACAGTATTTATTTATCTTTCATATAGGGGGGGGGGTTTATGTTTTCTCTTATAATATGTCAATGAATAAACTAAAGAGAATAAAATTAACATTGCTGGAATTCTTGGAGGATAGTGATTAATTTGAATATAAACATGCTATAATTCGCAATAGACATAAACATTTTAGTACATTTTAGTATAAAGGACTAAAATTTTTATCTTTTGTGCAAAATATATGAGGTCTTTATTCAAATTATTCGCTGTCTTGCAAGGACAACAGCAATGCAATTTATATTATGCTAACTTTAGACTATGCCATTTTATGTCAAGTTTAGTTACCTTTATTAGCCTCCAGAACCTAACCATATTTCCCCATTGCTTACATGTAATTATATATCGCGATTTAGTATATAGCGAACATCCTTGGACCCTATCTCGCGATATATCCCGACCCTAATGTACTCATGAACTCACGTCCAAAAAATTCATTATGTGTTAGAACTAAAGATACGTATAGCAATACAAACAAATATTATTGCATGCAGAATGATGTACACACACACACACAGGTTCACGCGGTTCCCTGGACGTCATTCACCATGTGCGACCATTGGAGCATCTCAGAAGGCAGAGGAGAGGAGCAAGAGCACTGCAAACTTACAGCTCATAATCCCTCTACAGAAATGGGATTTTCAACTCCACAAAATATTGCTTCATGTTCCCTTGGCCTCGGAACCAAAAAACAATAGGTATGGGAAGGCGAAAAAAAAAAAATCTTAGTCGGGGTGGTGATTACGAAATTGTGGTCCGCATAGCCTCATAAATTTTTTTTATATATATATATATATATATATATATATATATATATATATATATATATATATATATATATATATATATATATATATATATATATATATATATATATATATATATATATATATATATATATATATAGTAGTATTTATTTTAAGTGAAATGCGTAAATGGAACAACAGAACATATGGGATTAATTCCAATAGAGACTGGCCCGACCCCCAAACTCCACTTTTTCCGACACAATACCTATGTTGTAGTAAAAATAACATCTAAATTTTATGATGGTATGCTCACACAATTAATATTTAAGAGAAATACAGTCGCCAGGTTAATGTCCATTCAAATAATAGACTCAAATCCCCCCCCCCCCTCTTCCCAGCTCACTGGCCCCTACCTCTCTGAGAAATGATTGGGTGAAACACTAGATTTTAACGTTTAGTAATAAATAATACCTCAGACTAAAGTTAGGATAATATAATTGACATTTCTGGATTCCTTGCAGGTCAAGGAATATTTTGAACGTAAACTTCATATATTTTGCTCAAAACATAAAATACTTGCTTTGTGTAAACCAAATTATTACATTAGATCTAAAATTTGTATGTCTAATGCAAAATCCATGATGTTTATATTCAAAATGATCATCATATTGTAAGAATTCCAGCAATGTAAATTATATTCTGGTCCAGTAATTTGTATGAATTTTATGAGCTAAAACAAATATCTTCAGTTAATAAAAAAAAAATATTCTTCACGACACTATCTGTCAATCAAAGTACCCCAACTTGCCTCCACCCCTCTTCCAACCGCGCCAGAGAAATGTTGGGTGAAAAAACGAATTTTAACTTTTAATAACAAATAATACCTCAGACTAAAGTTAGGATAATATAATTGACATTGCTGGATTCCTTGTGAGACCAGGAACATTTTGAATATAAATGTCATATATTTTGCACAAAAGATAACATATTTACTCAAAGTAAACATTACATCTAAAATTTGTATGTCTAATGCAAAATCTATGATGTTTATATTCAAAATGATCAACAAATTGTAAGAATTCCAGCAATGTAAATTATATTCTGGCCGGGTAATTTGTATGAATTTTATGAGCTAAATAAAAAAAAAATTATACTTCACGCGTATATGGGTAGATGAACCGTGGAAAGTGAAAGTTCGGTTCTGGCGAGGCACTGCATAAATGAGAAATCGCGGAAAGTGAAACCGCGTAAAGCGGGGTAATAGTGTATATATATATATATATATATATATATATATATATATATATATATATATATATATATATATATATATATATATATATATATATATATATATATATATATATATATATATATATACATATATATACCCGTGTATAGCACGAGTTCTTAAGACCAAATTTTTTGGCAAAAAGTTGGGGGTCGACCTCTATACGGGTAATAGTTTCGTTAGGTTGAAAAATATTTACCAGTAACTACCAGTAAACAATGGAAACGATGCACCAACTCACCACCCACTGTGAGTGTCGGTACAGTTGCCAGGGCAGATCTCTTGCGTCATCATAGCAAGCCAAAAGTAGCCAAATGCATGGTATGGTATGGTATGGTATGCACAG